AGATCTTCCCTCTGTTAGGCAAGTGTTCTAGGCTTGAGGAATTTTTTGCCTCAAGTTCCTTCTTACTTGGATTGGTCACTCCAATACATGACAGTTTGGGAAAGACGCAGAAAATAGATTTTTCCCCAAAAGGGAATGCTCTGTAGAAATGCGTGGATGAGAAGCATAGTTGGGCAGATGACTGAAATATCAACCAGGATATATTGGGTGGGTTTCAAACCTGCGTTAATATAAATATTATACAAGGTAATATGTTACGTAAATATTTTATAACGTAACAGTACATGGAGATCACATTCTTGAGAATACATGCTAGAGACTGTTGGTTTGTCGTTTGGAAATATCTGAGGAGGCAAAAGACAAATCTATCACTGAAATTTTCTTGTGCAAAGTTATAGAATATAGAGCTAAGAAAAAGGAAAACAATTCTAGAATTGCATCAGAAAAGGTATTTCCATTGAAATAAGGCAACACTAATATTACTATGTAAATAGTGACTAGAACTTGTCAGATACTGCTGACAGTTTTGGCTATGCACTTGCAGAAAAAGTAAAATCAGTGTTTGAAATTATTAAAAGCCCAAAAGGCAACCTCTTCTACTAACTGTTTTGCCATACAAGAAAAGTCAGAGAGCTGATTTACTTAGCCTAGTAACATAGGGATAGATGGAATATCAGAAGGTCAACAGAAGGAAGAAGAATTGTGTAAACCTGAGGGCAATATTTGCAGAAAATGAAACAGTAAAAACTGCTGAAAAATACATTTGGATTGGAAAGTAAAAGGGTTTTAACCTTCAGAGAACCTTCCAAAGCTATGCTGGAGGCAAGCAACTCGATCACATTTCATAAACTGAAGACTCATTTCATGAGCTGGATTTCATAAAAATGCATTTCATAAACTAAAGATAGTTTATGAAAGAATTTGTATGACGTAGCTGTGTGTTGCAGTGAAGGAGTGAATTTGCTGACCTAGAGGTCCTTGTTCCTTTCTCTTACTTGCAATGCATGAAGGGAGATTTTTTTGATGTATTGGCATCCTTTGATACTACTGAGTGTGAGATTTTACTGGTTTGGGATCCTTTCTGCCATTTTTTTTTTTTTTTCTGTAAGAATTCAAAAGATAGTTGCAAGCACTTTTTCTCATGCCAGAGAAGGATGAGGTTTCTTTTTTTTTCTTTTTTCTTTTAGTCCTATGCCATGCATGTGATTGAGTTTGTAAGGACTTAGATAATTTGGAAAGTATTTGGAAAGAATTACGGCGTTACCATGCATGTTCATCAGGTGTAACCCAGTTAGGATAGTATTTCGAGTTGTGCTGTGTCTCTATGAATCTGAGATTCAATCAGAGTTAGCGGGCCATGATATAATCCGAATATAACAGTAATAATACTTTTGCCATCTTTTGCTTAGTAGAAATATAGTTTGAGAATACTGGATAACTTCCCATTAGAAGTAAAAAGCAGTACCAAAAAAAATAATTTTAAGTCGTGTTTTTAAATTTCAAAAAGTAACAAGTTTCCTTGAACAAGAACAGCAAGCACATAAACAAGTTCCTTTGCAAAAACCTCTGTAAGGCATTGCTTCCCTGACCTTGTAGTAGCTGCCTTTCCTTTCAAAGCTAAGATGGCACATTTAACTGCTTTAACTTATTATGCTTCTATTTTCTGCCCTACATTCTTGCATTTACCAATCAAAACATCCAGACCAAGGCTTCTTTTGGAGGCATGCAAGATTTCTAAATGATGGCCTAGATTTTAACCCTTCTCTTCTTCAAATGTCTGTCTTTCTGGCAAGGGATTTTAAGAGCACTGTAATTCTTAATGATCTTCTAGATGCAAAAGCATAGTTTAGTCTTTGAAGTTCTATTTTAGGTGCATAGAAGCACCTAAGGTAAGTGAATCACAGTATGTCCCTTATTAGCACACATTGATATGATATTATTTAATGATTGTATAGTGTTGATAGGTTGTGGCCTCATTTTTGTCATAATCCCAATGTGCTCAGCACCATACGAACAATTTTTCGTCTTTTTCTTGAAGAAACCATAATCAGTGATAGAGATATGAGAATGCATGAAACAGCTGGCTAGACACAGTTCAAATAATATTGGGATATTCCATAGATAAGATATTTTACAACAAACAAAAAGGAAGAGAGCAGATATGTCTGCAGTTTTAAATAAAACCAAATAGCCTGGACTGGCCTATGTTCATACTGCTTAAGATTAGCACCTGCTAGAGCAGATAGTCTTAATTCGTCCTACATAGCACTTAGTCCAGCTCCTCCCTGAAGCCCGTACAGTTCCTGTTTCACCTTAAGATGCCATTACTGTTTTTTCTGTTTACTTCAAATTGTTTGGAACAACAGGAGGGCTACCCACTAGAATGATTTGTTCTGCGTGCTGGGGTATGGTGTGAAAAACACCTGCCGAACTTTCTTGGGTAGCATCCAGGAGATTTTAGGTTGATTCAGTCTCATCAATGGGTCTTCACTGAACTGTCCCTTGGACTATGCCTATATATTTTCTGGATGGAAATTGGAGTGAGCCAAAAAAACGAGTGGAGGCCAAGCTAATGATTTGAGTGCTGTAGGTAGTCAGGACCCAGGGCTCAGGTGTGTCCCCTGGTCCCCTCTTGTTTGTCATCTCCTTGACTTTGGAACCTGAAGACCTGTGGCATTTCGAGGTTACCTGAAATCTGGCTTAGTTTGCCTGATAGACTATCCAAAAGCTGCAGCAACTCCAAAGTTGTTCCCAAGTGCATCAGGTCTCAGTCTCTGGAGCAGAAAGGTCCATTAGAGGGGTGGGAGATACAGCTGAGGTCACCAGCAGTTTCAGCCAGCTGATTTGAATAATCTGTTGCATGTCTATAAAAGTTTTCATTTTCTGCAAAGCAGCCAGAGACTAGCGTCGACAGATACTGTTTTTTCTTTCTTTTTTTTTTTTTTAATATCTTTTCTCTGAGTATTGGCAAGAGATTTATTTATAACTTGTGGAAATTAGCATTCTCTGGGAATCCATTTGAAGTCCCTTGTAGGTGCTTTAGAGTATAAATGGCCACAGAGAATGCAAACACTTCGTAATACAGATAAATACAACTAAGATGAAAATGGTATGTATTTATCATTGCTCACGAACAGAGGCAGCTTAGATTTTTTTATACCTCGTAGTTTTATGAGGTATAAAAACTATGCCCAGATGTCCCAAATAATAAACCCAGTGGATTTAAGTTAGTCTCAGTCTTTTCTCACCAAATTCTTGGTGGCATGGAGTGTCTAAGAAACCTATTTATTTCACCAAAAGCCATTTGGAACTAGAAATCCTGCCTGGACCACAGCTGACTCAAAGATACTGAATTTGTGCTGTGCTCCATTTAGTCAGTAGTTTATTCATTCAGGAAGGGATGTACAGCTAGTAGACACTTGAAATCTGTGTGTTCAGCTTTGAAATCCTAGCTAGTTGGTTCCAGGTCATTAATGTCATATGGAAAAATTCAGGAAGACCTGTGATGCAAAATTTGATCGGAGATGTTAAACACTAACTTCTAGTATTTTATCATTTTAGAGAAGCTTGTTAAAGTCATGAATGCTCACTCCTAATCCATACCTGAGGGCTGTTCTACACTTACCTCTTAACAATAAAGATCTGAACACATAACTAATAAAATACTAAAGCTTATCTTCCAGCAGGGTAGATTAAAGAATAAATCTAAATTTTGAATGCTACAATGGAGGCAATAATAAAAAGGCTTATTGAAAGCATGAATATCCACTGAAACCTTGATCCAAGCTTGTTTGTCTGTATCTCTAAACAGAGTCCCCAACTGTTATGTCTTCCCATGCCACACACCCATATTAAAAATGAGCTGAGGATAAATTATTTCCTTCCTTCACAGATGGTAGAACACACCAAAGGAGGCAAGAATAGAGTACAGGTCTTTCCATCTTATAGATGCAAGGTCTAGTACTCATGACTTTCATGTCTAATAATCGTGGCTTTCGTTTGTGGTGCTTCTAAGCACCAGACACCAACCTTACAGTGGAATTTGCTAGAAATTTCACATTCTTAATATAAGAATCTCTGAAATGAAGTGTGTTTCCCTGATGCTGCAAGAAGGAAAATCCCAGACCGTGTGCCAGTTTGACACAAAGAGAAACAGTTCTTCCTGATCCTAAACAGACCTGTCAGATCTTTGCATCCTGAAAGATATTTCCTCCTCGCTGACAAGAAGAGCAAAGCAATTTTAAATAGAATGGGTAAGCTTAGATATGGACTGTGGGGATGAGAAAGTAGTTGCTTCCATTCTTCCTGCCCAATGGGATATGAGCATTATTAACAACACAGTGTTGTTCATGCTGCAATTTTATTATGCATCTCATGGTCTTTAGTGGTCTTCACAAGAATCTTAATTTAAGGTGTCTGATTGACATCTTCAGTCTCAATCCAATCTTAAACCTATTTCTTCCTTCTTTTTAAGTAAGGTTTGTCTAGTTCTGATACAATGAAAACTTGGAAACACAATGCACTTTTCACTCCAGTGTTTGAAAAACATATAAGAGATGTTTATATTACTTTGCCATTTTAATAGAATTTTGAATCTTCAGTAATCTCATGATTTTTTAAGACTTTGAAATTGGAATATTTATATTTAATAATATAATGGTATCAATAAGAGTTTAAGCAGTTGCCCAGATTTTTTTAAATGATAGGATCATATTAATATTCATATTGAGACTGCTGTTAAAAACATACTAGAAATATAATACTTCCATAAAGAACTTTTCCCTTCAATAATAAATAGCAAGCTATTTCCATATAACATGATTTGTTTGTGCTTTCACAAATGCAGAAAATTTTGGATAAAATTAATCATGTCAGCTAATTTGACAATTGCATTACAGTAGTTTCATTAATTTCAATTTTTTCCATTTTAAGTAAATCTGCTGAGAGCGTATTTGAAGTACATCGAATACAAAGGTTGATTTTGATTTTTCTTATTTTAGATTATTATGTCATGCAATGAAAGACCATATAGTGCGTGTTGCAAATGAAGCAGAATTTATTTTGAACCGACAAAGAGCTGAAGATGTCCACAAGCATGCTGAGTTTGAGGTAAGCCTGAGAGTTGGTGCATTTCTGCTTCTCTGTTTTCACTCAGTTATCACCTAGACTGTAACCCCATACAATAAAGATATTTTTTTTCTTCCAAGAAAGAAATTTACATTGAAGGCATTTCAAAACTAGTTTTTAAAAGCTTTGGTAAATGTCAAACACAAGGAACAGGTTTAATTTCTCATCTCCTCACTGAAATTCATGAAAACATTTACAGCTTGAAGAAATCCCTTAATCAGAACGTCTAAACTGATATGGCAGACCCTTTAGCTTCACAACGAACATTTCTGATTTATTGTAAATCATAATACAAATCACATTAGTAATTTTTTTGTTGGGTTTTATCAACAGTATATGTGAGTTCAGTAAGAAAGAAAAGCAATCAATACACTTAAGGCATTTCATGAAAAATAAGAAATAGAAATGTTTTATTAAACAGAATTAGTATTTTAAGGTAATCTTGTTAGAACATTTTGTATTTTGGAGCACTTTAGAACATTTACTTGCTATAATTAATATAATGAAATATGATATTACATCTTTCCTGCTAGTTAGGAATCGCTAACTATTAAGTTTGTTTAAAATGCCTATTCTTTTTACATATTGGAAGAAGTAACACGGCAGCTGGATCTGAGAACTCTTTAATGCCTATAATGCTTACTCCTAAAAGGAGTCAACATTCAATTGCTTTTTTCATCAGTGTTGCAGTATACAATTTAAATTGCATTGCTTGAAAATGATCCAAGTAAACAAAAAAGCTATTTTTAAAAACCTGTTTAGTTTAACAGAGTTTTGATTATTTCTTCAGGATTAATTTTGTTCCTATTCTAAAATGTTTGGTTCAAAAATGGAGTAAAGTTAAAAATTAATTTTTGACATGATTTTATCAAATAGTTTTGCATTTTTGTGGTGTTTTATACATTTCAGCACCATTGTTTTTTATCATTTCCAAACCTGTCTGTGCTTGCATACATTCGTGTATGTGCAAGTATATATACACAAACATACATTTCCACATGTTTTGATGCTTAAGTGATCTAACATTAGGATTAAGATAGACTGACTTAGTACTGATGATAATAAATAGCTATATCAATTTATTCATCTGTCAGAAAATGTCAACAAGCACCTGGAGGCTAGAAATAGGATCCAGTAATCTTAGTTTTGATGAGGTTTTTATCTCCTTGAAACAGCTCTCTCAAATCTGCACTTTGATGTACTAGTTCTTGTGCTCCTTGACCTAGCTGAAAAGTGTGAGACACAGAGATATCTGTTGTCATTTCGAATACACATAACCTTTACTTCATTTTGTCAGAGCAGACAGCAGACACTTGTCATGTGGGATTGCAACAACTTTATTACCAAGCATCTACTGGATATTTTGAACTTAGATAAAATCACATTTACAATTAAGTGTGTGTCAGAGTGAAGTTTCATATTGCCTCAACAATAAATAACATTTGATATTTATCAGAGCATCATGCAGTAACCTAAGATGACAATGGAAGATTGAGTTATCTGCTCTTTGAAGAATACATTGAGGTATAAGATCTGTCAGAACTCTAGACAAAATGAGAATATTCAATTAACTTCCAGCTTCTGTTAGCAAATAGGATTTAGAATATTAACTAAAGTCCCTAAAGGAATACCCTTAAGTCAGTCTTATTGTCTGGTAAAGAAACCAACACGTTTTTCATATATGAAAATTTTCATTATATTTGTCACATGAAAAACTCAGCTACATGTTTCAGATGAGTAAGATAAAATCTGCAAGTCATAAAAGAAAATTATGAAATGTAGCCTGTGTTAAATATGAAACTCAGATGTACTTAAATAAGGTGATGGTTAAAGTCTGAAAGAATGCTTTATATATTGTCTTTAATAATGGTAGGTATATAACTGAACGTTTTATTATTCATCCTACTTGAAAGTAGTAGGGACAAAGAGATTTCTGGTAGTTTTCTCTTGCATAATTGTAAATCTGTCATTTTGTTTTAATAAGCTGTATAGGTATATGTTCTGGGTTTTAGTACATGTTAATCATTGCTCTCAGCCAGACAAGTGAGTGGCTATTTTATTTTTACCTTTTAAACTTTAATTGAATCATTATGGGTGAAATGATTTGGGCCAAGCTGCACCAAGTTACAGTGTCGCCTGCTTAGTGGGGAGGCCATGGACCAGCATCTAAATTTTATCCTGTGAGTCCAGTTGCAGTCAGGGCCAGGGGGATTCCTCCCAGAATGGGTGCTTCACAGTTAACTCTCGTTTTGTTAACCTTTGTAATTCTTCAGGAAGAAAAATGAAAATTTAATTTTACTGTCCAATGAGCTGGTGAAATATTAACCTCATTACTAAGGCAGATCATTGTACTAATTGGTGCTTCCCTGTACAAGAAGATAAATTGAAAAATGAATTAACCCTTTATGAATTAGTGTAATGATTGTTCTTTTCCAGATAGATTACTTAAAATAATGGCTGTAACACAGTGGAAAGGCCTTTGTGAAAATCTTACTGAATGCTAATGTGATCTGTAGTAAAAAGGTAGTGTGCAGAAATATGAAGAATAAACTACAATTTAGCATGAGGTTAACTTAATTTTAATTGCTCTTTTGAATATTAGAAAATAGGATTCTGTTCAGCATTGTGTTACAGCACTGAGCGTTGGTTAAATGTTCTAAAATGGTGCACAATAACTGTGTGTGCAAAAATGCCTCTTAAAAAGTGATTTTAAAACTAGCTGATTTAAAAATAATCTAGTCTTTTTGATTTATACCTAGAAAATGATACTTACAATGGCTTTATTTTAATTAGCATGGCTACATTTGCTTTGTTTAGACATTTTGAAAGGATATTTACTGGGAGGAGGAATTGAATTTGAACTTAACATGATTTTGAGAACAGAAATGGAAAAATTATATTGTGTTTATTATATGTAAATAAAGGATTTATCAAAATGAAAATACACTATAGAGTTTTGACAGTTTTAGAAACAAATTTGCATGATCAATAACCACAGCATTTATTTTAAAGGTAGTTATCTCTTAAAGGAAACATGATGAAGATAATAGATCTTTTTCAGGTTAAAAGATGAGCGATTTTTTTAACCATTAGGGTTTTTTAGACTTGGTAGTATGTTATGAAAATTTTTCATGTTGTGATATGAGATAGAAAATATACTCCTTGATTTTGTAGTTTAAGGAGTTTCTCTTTACCATCCATTAAAAAAAAAATCAAATAGCTTTTTAATTGTAGGTTTTATTGCAATTTAAAAATCAAAACCAGGGTACATAATTTTTTCCTGCATATTATATTATGTATGTTATACCTTAGAACACAAGAAACTTTTACAAATTGAGACCAACTTCTAGGGAATATCCATGGTCATACATATACACACAGAGCTGTATAGCTGTTTCTAACTGCAATTCTGTTGTCTTTGCCCTTGATATTTCAATTTTACATGTTCTAACGGAGTGCTTTTTCATGGATAATATATAGCAGTAGAACCATTTCAATTGGATGTTGTGTCCTTTTCCTCTTAAAAGTATTTTAAAGAGTTCTTGTCGTATTTAAAGAGTTTTAGTAAATAATCATTTTAAGGCCTATCTTTTATGAAGTAGATGTACTTTCATTCGTAGTCGCAGTGTGCTCAGTATGCTGCTGACAGAAGAGAGGAGGAGAAGATGTGTGATCATCTTATCAGTGCTGCTAAGCATCGAGATCACGTTACAGCCAATCAGCTGAAACAGAAGATACTCAACATACTAACAAACAAGCATGGTGCCTGGGGAGCTGTTTCTCACAGGTAAGCTGCAAATATGAAACGTGCAGGTCTTAAATGTTACTTTCAAGGTTTAAGAAAAGCAGTCATTGTATAACTGAAATATGAATGCATTAGGTAAAATGTATTTTCTGTTAGTCTTTTCTTCAGCTGGCTCTTCAGAAGACTTCTTTGCTAAAGAGTCACAGGTCAAACTCCTTTATAGAAGGCAAACATAGTATTTTACCATATTTTAAATAAATTATAATGGGTATTTGTTGATTATAATGCAGTTTTACTGTTAGTAATCAGTAGGTTTTGAGGCTTCTACCATTATTAGAATGTGTGCGAAGTGTTCTGAATGAGATATGGAGAGATGTAGAGATTTCCATATAGACTTCAACAGAGGAAATAAAGAAGAGAGAGTCAAAAAGGCTTGTCTAGCATTATAAAGTCAGTATTAGGGTAAACAGCAGAACCAGATCACTTGAGTAGCTGTCTAATGCTTTCTTCTGCTTATAGATTTTTCTGTGCGAGTAATGAACTGGTAAGATCTACTGGTAAATCTTAACTCTCCTACAACAAAACAGTAGTCAGCGCCAACCATGAACAGTCCAACTCAGTATGCTTAAAGCAAAAATTACATTGTACTTAAATGTAGCATGTGCAAAGCTGAACATAACCAAAGTGCAGCTCTATTCTACAGGTAGCCCTGTTAAAAAAATACGAAAGAAAAAAGCATGACACAAAATACATAATTCTTACTGTATGCAAGTGATAATATAGTGTTTGACATTTTAATCAGAGCTCTGTTGAATACTGTTTTTTAAAGTTCATTCTATTCAGCGTAGGAGTGAGATTAAACGTTTTCATGTATCATGTAAAAAAACAGAGCCTTGCTCTTCTGAATCACAAAAATAGCCACTGGCTAAGGTGCTGACCCTCATGTGGAAGACTTGAGCTCAAATTGCTCCTTTCCTTCATTCAGAGCAAGGTCTTGAACCCGGGTCTGCTATGTGAGTGCCCTGTCTGCAAAACTGGAGACTGCCAAGTCTCACTCTTGTTTGTGCATCCTAGCCATAAATATTTGATTAGTTATTCAAAGTGGAACAGCTCAAACAAGAGAAATCAAGGCAGTTCTGTTTCCAAGTATGCAAATTTTTATAGTTTAGTTTTCTACTTAAATCCTGTTTAAGTCTGCTCTGAGTCAGGCAGAGCAGATCAAAAAGTTCCATTTCCGCTCCGAAAAACCTTCTCAGTGAAAATCTGATTGAGACCGATAGACTAATACAAATACTTGTATATATCTCTGGATAAATATTTTCTTTCAAAAAATCTATTTTAATGTAGCTTGAATACATATCTAGGGCTTAAGCTTATTAGCAAAGTTGTGAAGTAATAAATTTGACACATCAGTAATAATGTTTAATAAATACCACATATACTGTTTATTCTTTTTGTCATTCTGTCTAGTTTGTTCTTGCAGTTATACAGTGTTTAAAAAAATGTAATTTTTCATGTTCATCATCCTTCTATCCTTATATCTTTCAAAGGAATCACTATTTCCTGGATGATGATGGAGATGTATTTATTTTTTAAGGTGGTAGAAAGTGTAGAAATTCAGTCTTATGGAAACTCTAGTCTAACGCCAGAAACGCTCTGGTGGACATTACAAAAATGGCACATATAAGACTGTGATATGGTTAATTCAAAACAGCCTTAGACCTTAATGGACGCCCCTGTTATCTCTAGTTGAGGCTTAAAGCTGTGTATCTGAAGACTTGAGCCTGATGAAAATAAGTGCAATTTTCAGTCCTTTTAATGTCTTTGAATTTTTGAATAATGTTGTTGCTCAAGTTCGTGAGTGGCTGCAGACACTCGACAGGCTTAAGTCAGTTCCTGGTCAGTAACCTTTTCAGGAGACCATCTCTTCTTTGGGCCGGATAACTTTCCTCCCCTGGATGGCATCCTGTATGGCAACCAACCACTGCTGCAGCTTTTTTTTTGCTCTTCAGTCCATGATAGTTTTTGATGGCCCATGAAGCAGCTTGACACCTGTGACAAACCTATCAAATTTCTTACGTCAAGCAAAAGAAGCTGCACTATTATTCCTGTCATGCCACTTCCCCAGTGTGCCTGCTCCTCAATTACTTGCAGTGCTGCTTTCCCATTTCGGCGCTTGCCGTGTTGGGTGCAGCTGTTGGCCTGGCTGTGTTTTAGCTGCAGGCAGCTGCTTAACCTGGAGAAGGGGGATGTGGCAACAGCACGAGGTCTCCAAGTGGGGTCCCCCATTTGCAGGAGCCGATCAGGAAGCAAATGGCCTCTCACTGCAGGTCTCACCACGTGTGCGGTGGCAGCTGTGTGATCTACCACATAAGGGCACCTTCTGTCATGAGACCTAGTGGAGTGTGAATGGAAAGGCCAGGGATGGCAGCAGGTAGGGGGAGATGCCCAGTGGGAGACCTTCTGAGCCTTGTGAAGAGCCATGGTCACTGGTTCTCAGTGGGTAGATTTAAAAGGCTTCAAGTGCAGAAAGTAGAGAGGGGTCTCATTAAACTGCTCAGGCACAGAAGGCAAAACCTGTAGTTAGTTAGGTAGTTCCTCCAATACTCTCCCTATGATAGAAATTGAAATGGATTCTAGAATTGTACATAGTTCTGGTCTTGGCCGGCGGGAGACACAACAGGCCTCAAGTCTCCTTTTTTAATTCTTGACTAACAGTTACAGCGTTAGCGGTCGCTTTATAAACTGTTGCTTCTGTGTGCCCCAGAAGATACAGCCTGACTGGAATACAGAGTTACTTTAAAAAAAAAAAAAAAAATTGGTTGGCACTCCAGACCTCTAGACCTCTGTAGTGACTCCATCACTTCTGTTGGGGAGAGCGCTCCTGGCTCTGAAAGCACACCGCTGGTCTCCTGTCCATCTCTCGCGCTGGAGACAGTTCGTTGAAACGGTGAATTAGGGAGACCGTTCTCAGGCCCAGGAGGTCAAGGGAAGAAACAGGCAACCTCCTCTGCATGGTAAATACTTGGGAAATAGCAATGCCTTTTGTCATCCAAAATAGATAAGATAGATAAGAAACTATCTGGGGGAGGGCATGAGTGTGAAAAGCTTCAATTCTCTTACACGCACACAATCTGCAGCTACTGATTTACTGATAATTGTAGCATATAGTACATATATATGTGGTTTTGTTTGTCTCTCTTCAAGGTAAAGAGCAATTCTAAGTTCTTTAATATAGATGCTTGTGTTATAAAATATTAAGGTCTTATTTTGTGCAATATGACCCAGCTGTAGAGAATTTATTTCCTTGTGTTTGCGGTTCAACACAATGAGCTTGTAAGCCTCCCCAGCTTTTGTGTCCATGTGTACTGTTTTTGCAGAAAGCAGCAACAGCATTTACTGTATTTAATCTGTATGTGCCCAAAAGTTTACTCTTTGTTCATTAAGAAGCAGAGTCTATTAAGAAACATAGAAACCTAGTGCTGGGAGGAAAAACGAGAAGTCTGATGAGTGAAATTCTATACTGTTTGTAAATTATGAATTTTAAATGTATTATCATAAACTCTTTTCAAAATGTCTGAAGAAGCAAGAATGAAGTTGAATGGTGTAAATCAAGAAAATACCATATGAAATTTTCAGTTCTAAGTTAGGTTATAGTTACATAAAGATAGTTGAATTAAAACTAACATAAAATTGTCGGTGACTTGCATTTCAATTACCTTCTTAATTAGTTATTAATTTATGAAGGAGACATTAATTCTGTGCAAGCGCCCTACCACTTGAATAAATGCTTACAAACACAGTAACATTGTATAACCTATCCCTGTCTATACATTAATCAATCAGTATGGTTTGAGTTGGTCTGACATGTTTACTCTTTCATCTCTTTCTGTCTAAAAATGGTAAATAACAATTTTGAAAAAAAAAAAATATTGCTTATCAGTGTTATCTTCTTTCCCTCTTCACAAATATTTTCCCTTCACCTCTTAAAGTGAAAACCAAAGTTCTTTTGCTCGATTTCTTGCAGGTGTGAGCATCAACTCCTCTACAACAACAAAAGGAAATTATGGATCATCTTGTTTTCTCATACGTATCTCAGACAAAGAATAATAGATTTCAAAATAAATCTTGTTAGTTTGTTAAAAATCCTGTTTGTGCCCTCAAACCAAATTAATTCTGTTTTCCTCATTTTGGCAATTTCACACTTCTTAGTGTCATAGCTTACCCTAAACATGCTGGTTTTCCCTTTTTTAATTTCAGCATTATACCAAAATTAGAATTTTGCAGGCTTTTCCCATTCAGATGAGAAATTGATGAGTTGGTTATTTCTTTGATGCATTGCCACTTATTCAGAGTGAATATGCAACATCCTATTTCCTTGAACTCAGGAAGAATCAAACAGGGTGTTTCATAGTTTAGCGTTCAAAGCTTCTTTAAGCCAGCACTTACCCTTAGCTTTTTTCAGGGTTATAGTCTTCATGTCACAACATATGCTTCCTTCTGTCTTCTCTGTCAGCTTCATATGGTGCTTCTCTTCCTCCCCATCTGCTTCTCTCCCCGTACACATCTTCCTTAAAAAAAAAAAAAAAAAAAAATTAGTGAAACCTGTCTGTACACACAGTTCAAATTCCTTATCAGTCATATGCATGCCTGTGTTTTGGGTCATAATCTGTTACCGTGTTTGTTTGGAGCATTCTCTTATTTCAGCTTCTTGGTTTAATCAGATATCTCAACTTTTCAACAACTTCTATTCAAGAATACTGTATATATAGCTCTACCTTACAATTTCTATAGGTTTAAGGCAATCTAGGGCAATACAAAGAGCTCTGAGTTCCAGTTTGTGTTCTAAATCTAAATATGAAATACTTGTCATAGGTATATTCATACGATCAGTTTTGATATACACAGGAGGATTATTATAATGAGAAAAATGACATTTAAAAATGAGACTTGGTTCTCTTGCTTTCCGTGATTTGATGAAGGAGGTTCCACCTACATTAAAGCAGCTTTACCAAATAGTGAGTATACAAGGGCTTTTTCTG